AAGATTTATTTATTATGTGTACAGCATTCCTTCCATGTGTGCCCGCATACCAGAAGGGGGCGCCAGGTCTCATTACAGATGGTTGTGAGCCACCATGTGGTTGCTGGGAATTGAACTCAGGACCTCTGGAAGAGCAGTCAGTGCTCTTAACCACTGAGCCATCTCTCCAGCCCCGAGAAGCCCTGTCTTAAAAAAAAAAAAAAAGGCAAAGTAAGGTGAACATGAAATTGTAACATATAAGAAAACATTAACCTTAGCAATTATTATTTGCCTTCGCCTTCTTATTTTTTTTTTTTTTTGTTTATTTTTGAGACAGGGTTTCTCTGCAGCTTTGGAGCCTGTCCAGACCAGGCTGGCCTTGAACTCACAGAGATCTGCCTGCCTCTGCCTCCCAAGTGCTGGGATTAAAGGCATGTGCCACCACCACCCGCTTTGCCTTCTTTTTAAAAAAATATTTATTTTATTTTCTGTATATGAGTATTTTGCCTGTATTATGATTGTGCGCCACACCTGTGCCTGGTGAACTGGAACTGGAACAGACTTGTGAGGCACCTTATGGGTGCTGGGAACTGAACCCAGGTTCTCTGGAAGAGCAGTCAGTGCTTTTCACCTCTGAACCACCGTTACAGCTCCATCTCTGAACTCTTTTTGTAATGGTGGGACTTGAACCTGGCTCGAGCCCAGGACTTTACATCTACTAGGTAAGCTTTCTATCATATTTCCAGCAGTTTTTAACAAGTTTTTGTGGGGTGAGGAATTTTTTTTTCTTGTACCCTTGTTTATTTTTGAGACATGGTCTCACTATGTAGCCTGGAACTCACTCTGTAGACCAGGCTGGCCTCAAAAATCAGAGATCCACCTGCCTCTGCCTCCTGAGTGCTGGGATTATCTTTTTTTTGAGGTGGGGGTTATTCATTTGTTTTCCAAGACAGGGTTTCTCTGTAGCTTTGGAGCCTGTCCTGGAACTAGCTCTTGTAGACCGACCAGGCTGGTCTCAGACCCACAGAGATCCGCCTGCCTCAGCCTCCCGAGTGCTGGGATTAAAGGCGTGCGCCACCACTACCCTGCCAAGTGCTGGGATTATCCGCTTGCGCTATCACATCTGATGCACATTATTTGCTGATTTATTCTTCTTTTTGTGAGAGGGTCTCACTATGGATCTCTGGCTAGCTAGCAGTTATGTAGACCAGGCTGGCCTTGAACTCACAGAGATCCTCCTGCCTCTGCCTCTGAGATGCTGGGATTAGAGAGTGACACCATAACCAACTACCTTTTTTGTATTTATAAATCTTTATTTATTTATTATGTATACAGTGTTCTTCCTACATATATGTCTGCACACCAGAAGAGGGCACCAGATCTCACTATAGATGACTGTGAGCCACCATGTGGTTGATGAGAACTGAACTCAGGACCTCTGGAAGAGCAGCCAGTGCTCTTAACCTCTGAGCCATCACTCCAGCCCTAACTACCTTTTTTTTCTAAAGGTTTTATGTTCAGTTGTGTGTATGTGTATACATCTGTGCATGTGTATGTACACATGAATGCAGTGCCCATAGTGGTCAGAAGTGTTGGATCCACTGGATCCAAAGTTATAGGCAGCTGTGAGCCACGCAACATCAGTGCTGGGAAATGAACTCAGATCCTTTGCGAGAGCAGCACAAGTTCTTTACCACTGAGCCATTACCCAAGCACTCTTTTTACTTTGCATTTTGATTGTTTTTGTTTGTTTGGTTGGTTTTTTTTTGTTTGTTGTTTTTTTTGTTTTGTTTTTCGAGACAGGGTTTCTCTGTGGTTTTGGAGCCTGTCCTGGAACTAGCTCTTGTAGAACAGGCTGGTCTCGAACTCACAGAGATCCGCCTGCCTCTGCCTTTGAATACAGAGTGCTAGGATAAAAGGCGTGCGCTGACCTCACTAAGCTACCCAGACTGGCCTTGACTTTGCCCCATGGCCCAGACAAGTCCTGAACTTGTGATCCTTTCAATAATACAATACCAGGCCTGTGTTACTATACTTGTCTGTGTTCTGGGTTCTTTCCCCTCTAGCCTACCACTTTTTTCTTTTGTTCTCTCTCCTTCAGCAATAACTACCTTCAATAAACATACAGGTATTCCCTCTTGCCTGATTCTCATTCATTCAATAATTTATCTAGATACTACCATACACACGCACGCGCGCGCACACACACACACAGTACTTTGTCAGGTATTGTGTAAAGAAAGATGCAAACAACAGGAAGGAGTCACACCATACAACAGGACTCACGTAGGAGGTTTAATGGAAGAGGACACAGAAGGGGGCAGAGAGGGGAGGCAAAGACTGGGCCCCGGGGACAAGAGTGGCAGAAGAGAGAGATGGGAGGTGGGCAGGGCCCTTTTATAAGGGAAGTAGTGAATGTGCACAGAAGGTGCTCTTAGTGACTGCAGCTGAGGACGTCGCCTGGCAGGACCCTAAAGACAGGCCACAACAGATGCCTGAATACTAACGCTTTTGATTTTTCAAGATAAGAGTTTCCCTGTGTAGCCCTGGCTGTCCTGGAACTCACCATGTAGAACAGGCTGGCTTTGAACTCGGAGATCTGCCTGCCCAAGTGTTGGGATTAAAGGTGTGCCACTACACTTAACTTCAGAAGATACTTTTCTAGGCAACAGTGAGAATGAAGACTGACTTGAGGGACACTTAGGGAGAGCAAGAGACTTAGTGGGAGGGTTGGGCATGGTGGCACACATCTTTAATCCCAGAACATGTGGGGGGGGGCGGGGTAGATCTCTATGTGTTCCAGGCCAGCAGGGTCCTCATAACAAGTTCCAGGGCAGCCAGGGCTACACAGAGAAACCCTGTCTTTAAAAAAAATAAAAAGTGGTAGTGGAGAGATGGCTCAGGTAAGAGCACTGGCTGTCCTTCTAGAGGACCCAGGTTGAATTCCCAGCACCCACATGGCAGTTCACAACTATTTGTAACTTTGGTTTCAAGGAATCTAACACCATCATACATGCAAAACTTCAATGCACATGAAATAAAAAACAAATCATTATAAAAAAAAAAAAGAAAGAAAAAAAGGCAAAAGCTCAAGAGAGCCACCTGCCTCTGCCTCTCTAGTGCTGGTATAAAAGACATACACCACCAAGCCGGCCCTTAAGTGGCTCTTGAAGAGGGTGGATAACCCCAAGAAAGTCACATTCTCATGAATACAGAATAGCAGTATAGTCTGGCAGATAAAGCTGCAGGCTCTAGAGTCAAATCTGAGACGTGTAACCGTGTGTAACTTGTTTAACCTCTCTGAGCCTTTGGAAATGGAAAATGTAGGAGCCCAAAGTATTTACCTCTTTCTTTTAGGGGAAAAGAATGAGCACCACCTCACAGTTATGGAGTTCAGTAGATTTCCTTTCGTGTTCATGTGGCACTGAGAACTGAATTCAGGGCTTTGTGTCTGACAGGCAAGGCCCTCACTACTGACATCTGTCTCCAGCCCTTTCTTCTTCACCAGCATCATTCATTATTAACAGTTAAAGAAACACTTATCCATTTGGTTTGTATGTGTGAGTTATGTGCACAGGTGCTCGCACACGTGTGGAGGTCAGAACTCGCGGAACTCAGTTCTCCCCTTCCACCATGTGGGTTCCGGGGATCAAACTCAGGTTGTCAGACTTGGCAGCAAAATCCTTTACTCTCTGAGCCATCTGGCAGACCCTATTTTGGTTTGCTTGGTTTTTCTAAAATTTTATTACTTTTTTGGCTTTTGTATTTGTTGTTTGTTTGTTGGTTGGTTTTTTTGAGATACGGTTTCTCTGTATCTTTGAAGCCTGTCCTGGAACTCACTCTGTAGACCAGGCTGTCCTCGAACTCACAGGCCACTTGCCTCTGCCTTTTAAGTGCTGGGATTAAAAGCGTGCACCACCATGTCTACTAAAATTTTGAGACAAGGTCTTACTATGTTGCTCAGGCTCAGCCTCTCAAATAGCTGGATCTGCATGCCTGTGCCATCAGCATGGCGTTAAATCATGTATGGAAAGTGCCACAGCATCAGACATGCAGGAAGCATTTAATAATACTTGCCATTACAGTTCCTATATCTCTGTGTGACACACATGCACCTTGTGTCATTTCTTCTGAATTGAAACATTCTCTCTTAGAGGGAGGAGAGAGACCTATCTATCTACATATCCACCAGCTATTAGTTCTGTTTCTCTGCAAGCCTGACCAATGCTGGTGGCTGCGTCTATTCAGAAGTCAAATAACATCCAGAAGAATGCCCAGTGAGTATGGAATAAAAGCTTCAATAACGTGGACGCTTGAGGACCAGGAAGCAAAGAGAGCGTCAAGAAAAAGCTCTCTCAAATGTCAGTTGATGACTTACCTCACCATGACCTCTGAGGCTCTTGGCAAACACACACAGCTTCTGTGGGAAACAAAAGAAAGTAGTCAGGCCAGGCGGTAGGCATGCCTTTAATCCCAGCACCCAGGAAGCAGAGGCAGATGGATCTCCGTGAGTTCAAGGCCAGCCTGGTGTAGAAAGTGAGTTCCAGGACAGCCAAGACTACACAGAGAAAACCCTGTCTCAAAACAAAACAAAAGTATGTGTATATGTACCAGTGAGAGTATGCGCAAGTGTTTGTATGAATGTGCACATGTGCAGGCATGTGGCAGCCAGAAGAGGGTGTTGGAGCCTTAGAAGCGGAAGTTACAGGCCTATGCAGGATGCTAGGTTTGTTTCATGGGTGCTAGGATCCAAACTAGAAATTTTGAAGGAATCTTGAGCCATCTCTCCAGTACTGTTTGTTTTTTTTTTAATCTAAATTCATATACCCCAAGTATCCCAAGTCTCATATTTCATTAAAATGTTTACATTTTGTGTGCATACTTGAGTACCATGACAACGCGGCAGTGGCAGGACATAGGAGCTGGTTCCTTCCTTCCACGCTGTGGGTGCTGAGGATGAAACTCAAGTCAGCAGACTTGGTCACTCAGTCGCGAGCACTTTCACTTACTAAGCTGTTTAGCCAGACTGCGTTTCGTTTTGAGAGGGCTTTACGCAGTCCAGGATAGCCTTGAACTTGCTTTTTAAGTAGGGATGAGCTTGACCTTGCAATCCTCTTGTCTCCACCTCTCACGTGCTGGAATTGCAGGCACTCACATCCAGCTTCAGACGATGATTGATTTTAGAGACATTTTACTGCTATTCTAAAGCTCTATGGAGAGTTGGAACTTATCTCCAAAAGTTTGGAAAACACCTCAATTGTCATTGTAGTCTATTAATTACATTGATTGTTCTCATAAAATACCTATACTTAAAAAACAAGAAAAACCATGGGTATTTTGCTTGCATTATGTCTGTGTATCCCAAGTGGGCCCAGTGTTTGCAGAGACCAGAAGAGGGTGTTAGATCTCCTGAAAATGGAGCTACAGGCAATTGTGAGTTGCTGTGTGAACGTTGGAAGTCAAACCCCAGTCCTCTAGAAGAGCAGGCAGTCAGTCAGTACTCTTGACTGATATACTATCTCTCTAGCCCCAAATATCTACATTTTTTTTTTTTGATTTTTCAAGACAGGGTTTCTCTGTGGCTTTGGAGCCTGTCCTGGAACTAGCTCTGTAGACCAGGCTGGTCTCGAACTCACAGAGATCCGCCTGCCTCTCCCTCCCGAGTGCTGGGATTAAAGGCGTGCGCCACCACCGCCTGGCTTACATTTTTTTTTTTAAAAGGCAGAATGGAGAGACTCCCTTTACAGCTGGCACATAACTGGGTTGTGCTGATAGTAGCCAAAAGTTAGCTGATGGAACTCCAGACTTTTCTTCTCTTTTCCTTAATGACTCTCCTATATCCCAGGTTGGCACTGAACTCTATATTCAGCTGAGGTATAACCCTGAGCAGCTAGCTGCCTTCTAGAGCCACCATATCTGTTTATGTGATGCTGAGGATTTGATTTAGGGTTTTCTGCATGCTAGGCAAACCTTTTACCAACTAGAAGTGTTTTTAGTTCTTTCCTCTGTTTTAAACATATCTCATGATTCAGAAATCCTTTACGATGGAGGTTGGGGAAAAGGATCCAGTCCTTTGATATGTAGACCAATGATATACAGATCAATGGTATCAAATAGGTCATGGTCCCTGAAATGATCCACGTAGCTCGATTTCATGAACACTTCTTTCAGGCTGTCGCAATGGCTCAGTGGGTAAAGTGCTTGCTGTCAAGTCTGACAACTTGAGTTCGATCCTGGGGACCCACAGGGTGGAAAGTGAGAACTGACCTCGGTAGGTTGTCCTCAGACTTCCATGTGTCCACTAGCTCCCTTACACAAATATATAAATGTGTGAAATAAAAAATATTTTAAAAAAACCACATCTATTACATTCAAGGTACTATGACTCTAAAGCTCTGCCCTACAAAAGCAACAAATATTTGCTCAAAATTCACCGTAGCTCAAATTTAAGTAGCACTGTTTTTTTTTTGTTTGTTTGTTTGTTTGTTTTGGTTTTTTCGAGACAGGGTTTCTCTGTGGTTTTGGAGCCCGTCCTGGAACTAGCTCTCGTAGACCAGGCTGGCCTCAAACTCACAGAGATCCGCCTGCCTCTGCCTCCCAAGTGCTGGGATTAAAGGCGTGCGCCACCACCGCCCGGCTTAAGTAGCACTGTTTATAATAGTTCACAGCAAAAGTATTTTAAGAAATAGCCACAAGGCAGTGGCGGTGCACGCCTTTAATCACACTCAGGAGGCAGAGGCAGGCGGCTCGCTGTGAGTTCTAGGCTAGCCTGGTCTACATAGATTGCTTCTGAACATCCAGGGTTACAGAGAAACCCTGTCTCGAAAAACAAATGAATTAGCAAACAGTACTGTATTTAAGAAGTTTAGGCAATCATGGCTGAATAATATTACGTTTATCCCAGGCCACGAGGCTAACCTGAACTCTGTCACTCAGTACCCCAATCCTCGCAACCATCCTTGATTTGGGGGAGAGGAGGTAGTGCACACTCGCTGCCCACACGGAGTTTCGAGTGCTATTGGCAGCGACAGGAAACGATGATCCAATCCCCGCCCAGTAACACGCCCTTTCCTGGGATCACTTCCGCCACAGAGATCAGTTTCCGGAAGTCCTGCGTGCCCGGTACTCTCGCGCGGGCTGGAACCAAAATGGAGGAGTACGCGAGGGAGCCGTGGTGAGCTGCGGCAAGCCGCCCTTGTTGTTGTCCCTCACGCCCTCCGCCCGCCGTGGTCGGAGTCCGAGGTGCAAGCCGAGCTCCGCGCGGCTCAGCGCCGAGAGCTGGCAGCTGTGGGTGGTGCGGGCGCGGGTGACCAGGTGGCTTTTAGCGCTGGGTGCCGGGACCCAGCACCCCTGTGACCTTGTGCCTAGCGAGGAGGTCCAGTGCTGGGCTTCGTGGCCTTGGAACCTCCTTTCTAGGTCAGGTGCTGTCCCTCTGGTGCGGGGACAATTAGTAGTGTTCCCCTTTGTCGGCTGAGGTGACCTTGGACTTGTCTCTAGACTTCGCTTTGCTCAGGTCCTACATTGACGAAGGAAATGTAGATCTCCGAGTGCCATACTTGAGGCTTTATTTGTATGGTTAAAGGGGCCCCCATGAAGAGGCATTTCAAAAGAGTAGACCAGAGATTTCACCCAAAGGCCAGGGGGCTTGGATGAGCTCCTTGTAGGCTGGGGTGGTATTTCCTGCGCGGAATTCCTGGAGGAAAACTGGCAAATAGGAAGAGAGGAGCTGCATGTGTTCTCAGGAAAGCCATGAACAGAAATAATTTCATTCACCAAGCGTTTGTTAAGTGAGGTCCGTGTGCTTGGCTCAAAGACCAATCATGAGTAAATCAGGCATAGCAAAAATAAGCTGTAAGTTAGCGCGATAGCTGTTGAATCTCAAGTTGTCAGAGTAAAGCCTCGGGGATCACAGCAAATAATTAAACCTTGATATTTAGGTTAATCTGGTTTTGCTTTGTTTTTGCTTATAATGAGAAAGAATCTGTATTCCTCAGAGTGTGTGCCTGCCCAGGACGTTTCAGTTACTATTTGGTGGCAGTTTCTGTGCTCCCACCCTCAATATGCTTCATCCTTCTGTGACCACACCCTCCTTCGGAGGGCTATCAGATGCACTGGCTAAAACAGTATATGGGTTTAATCGTTGTCTTAGACTTCTTTTTCCCATTTGTTCTCTCAGAATCCCTTAGGCTATATAAATACAGTGGAAAGAGTTTGGTGAGTTTGGAGCCCCAAAATTTGTGCTTTTAGTTGGCTCTACTAGTTCCTAGTTTGTTTTGGGGCAGGCTACTTAATTTCTGTCTGAGCCTTTGTTCATTTGTACAATTCAGAGGAGATAGTCATAATCTTTTTGTCAAGTTAAAAGATTATGAACCCGCAAGGAAAAATAAGTCATTATTCAGATTCTTGTGGGCAATAATGGTAGGTTTAAATGCATTCTTGTACTTATAGTGATTGTCCATGGGCTAACTCACTATAGTGTTTGTCTTTTTGTAGGGAAGGACCAAAGGTTATGAGTTAAGACAGGGTTTGCCATGTAGCCTAGGCTGACCTCTTCCAAGTGCTGGGATTACCAGTGCGTGCCACCACTCCCAGTTCTGGGCTTGTCTCCTGAGACTGTCTGATGTAGTGAGAAATTTCTTTTACTTTGCCAACTTTAGAGTTTGTTGTGAAATTGTTTATAAACCTGAGTAAACCTGTCTGTGCTTGCCCAAGGAGCATATGAACACTATAGAAGCTATAGTCTAAGTGTTCGTTTTACGGAATTCATTTAGATTTGAAACCCGGAGGACGATGTGTGCTAGCGGTGAACGACCAGCTTTTTATTTGGAAGAGATGGTGGAGGAATTACAGCTCTGCTGAATGTTGGCTGAAACAGAATTTACCCTGTTCCTAGGATATGTGTGTGTGTGTGTGTGTGTGTGTGTGTGTGTGTGTGTGTGTGTGTAAACAGGCTTTGGGTGATATACAAAAGAAAAACGTACATAAATCTTTACAGTAATACAGCCGACTTAGCAAGACTGGAGATGTTGTGTGTGTCAGGTCCTAGGTTCTATACAGACTTTTATTAGCCAGATCCCTAGAGGAGAAGTTCTGATCTCTTGATCAAATTACTGACGTTTCAGCATTGTGTAAATTGGGGTGCAACATTTAGATGTTGACTTTACAAATTTAACTTCCAATTATTAGATGTTATCCTAGTGTGTTAAACGGATCTGATGCAAACTATAAGTTTAAAATGCCGTTTTGAATTTAGTTATCCTGAAACTTCAGACTTTTAACACTGTGTCTGCAGCTAGTGAATCTTTGTGGGGTTCCTGCTTTAAAACTTAATGCTGAGCCAGGCGGTGGTGGTGCATACTATTATTCCCAGCACTTGGGAGGCAGAGGCAGGTGGTTCTCTGTGAGTTCAAGGCCAGCCTGGTCTACAGAGTGAGTACAGGACAGGCTCCAAAACTACACAGAGAAACCCTGTCTCAAATAGCCAAAAAGGGGGGGGGGGAGATGATTGTTAAATCCTTCTGCCTTCGAAGACTTGAGACTGAGTAGTTATGGATGTGTTTAGTATATCTGCCCCTATTTTACAACCTAAAAGTATATTGGCTGCAGTGGACTCCACACTGCAACCTGTTATATCCCTGCAGTTATTAAGTAAAGAAAGTTTTAGGGTTTCTGTGGTCTATAAGTGATAATAAGGTCATCTTTCTCCCCCTTCCTCTGTTTTTAGCCCCTGGCGAATCGTGGACGACTGTGGTGGTGCCTTTACCATGGGTACCATAGGTGGTGGTATCTTTCAAGCCTTCAAAGGCTTTCGAAATTCTCCAGTGGTGAGTGAGTGACTGGTCTTATCTTCACTGGAAGCCAGGGCTGGTTGATGTTTATGGGTGCGTTGGTGGGTTAGAAACTTATTATATATGATTTTATTATTTTGTGTGGGGGGGTGGGGGTTGTTTTGCCTGCATATATGTCTATGCCTTGCTTGGTGCCTGATGCCCATGGATAAAATCCCTAGAACTGGAATTACATACAGACAGTTGTGAGCTACCATGTGGGTGCTAAGAATTGAACCTGGGTCCCCAGGAAGAGCAGTAAGTACTCTTAACCACTGAGCCATCTCTCCAGCCCTAATTTATTTTATGTATGTGGATGTTTTGCCTGCATGTATGTCTGCATACCATGTGCATGCCTGGTGGCCACAGAGGCCGGAAGGTAGCATTGGATCGTCCAGAATCAGAGTTACAGACTATTGTGAATTACCATGTAAGACCTGGGTTCTCTGGAAGAGCAACAAGTGTTCTCGACCACTGAACCATCTCTCCAGTCCCCAATTTATTACATTTTAGACCATTTCCTTTTGTTTTTGTTATAGGGAGTAAACCACAGACTCCGAGGGAGTTTGACAGCTATTAAAACCAGGGCTCCACAATTGGGAGGTAAGAAGAATGTTTCCATTTATTCAGACTTTTTCTGTTTACTTGAACTTGAGGCTGGCTATACCTTTCTGCCCTCCTGTCCATCTGACTTCCCTTTCTTCATTTGTCCCCATACTGAACTCAAACTTTTTCTTTTTTTATATTAGTGATTTTCATTTCCTCTGCTTGTCTTAGTATCTCTGTAAGGTTTTTTTGTTTGTTTGTTTTTGTTTTTTGTTTTTTTTTTTTCTGGATTAATGCTTTGTTTGGAAAGTTAAGTTGAATTATTATGTTTTTTAAAATCTTATTTGTGTCATTCAGATATTCAATGTTTGTTCTGTTTTAACTTGTCTTGGGGGTTCTTTTTTGTTTTTTTAAGACAGGGTTTCTGTAGCCCTGGCTGTCCTGGAACTAGCTCTGTAGACTAGACTGGCCTCGAACTCACAGAGATCTGCCTGCCTCTGCCTCCCGAGTGCTGGGATTCAAGGCACGCACCACCACCACCCAGCTTTCTTATAGAACCCAGGACTACCGGCCCAGTGGTGGGACCACCCACAGTGGGCTGGGCCCTCCCCATCAATCACTAGTTAAGAAAACACATTATATCTGAGTCTTATGGAGGCCTTTTTCTCAATTGAGGTTTCCTCGAGTCAAGTTCCCATAAGACTAGCCAGCACAATCCCCCTTTTCCAGAAGGGCTGTGTAGCTCAGATTTCTAGTGACAGAAATGGTGCTGAAGAGAAATGTGATGTAAAGGTCAGAGAGACCAGTTTGGGTTCTCCAAGGATAACATTAAGAATTGTGCAGAAATCAGTGCAAAATATCAGAAGATTATAAAAAACACAGCAATTCTAAAACTTGGTTACTCAGTAACTAGTAGAAAGGAAATGGCCAAAAATATGTATGGAAATTATGTTCACATAAGATATGACATCAACACAGAGTTGACTATTTTTCCTAAGTCATGGTAAAGACTCATTACTTGGGCTAGAGAGAAGGTTTGGGGGTGAAGAGCATTGGCTGCTCTTTCAGAGGACTCGGGTTCCATTACCAGCACGCACATGGTATCTGTACACCAGTCTGTTTCCAGCTCTAGGGGATCTAGGCCCACTTCTGGCCTTGGGCACCAGGCACAAAAGTGGCCTGTATACGTTTCTTGTATTACATTATTGCTTATTTGGCAAGGAGGGGAGGGTGCATGCGTGCGTAGCTCAGAGAGCAACTTGTAAAAGTCTGTTCTCTTTCCGCCATGTGGGTTCCCAGGTCATCGTGCTTGGTATTCTTACCCCTGGTCCATCTCACTGGCCCTGTTTCTTGGGAATAAGTGCTGTCTTAGCAAGCCCCCTGACCCTGAATGACAAGTTTTGAGGTTTGGGGGTTTTTAATTTTGTGGTTTGCTTGTATGTGTACATATACCAACTGTGTGCCTGGTGCCCACAAAGGCCAGAAGCGGGTCTGGATCCCCTAGAGCTGGAAATACAGATGGGTGTGAGCTGCCATGTGGGTGCTGGGAAGGGAACCCGAGTCCTGGAAAAGCAGCCAGTCCTCTTAAACCCTAAGCCATCTCTTTGTTCCAAGGATGAGACCAAAGATGAGGGGCTCCTGCTGTACTCAGCTGGTCCTGAACACGTGAGATCTGGAGGAAGCCTGTGGAGTGATGTGCTTCAGATGTTTGTTGGAGCCGTTTGTTGTTCTTGTTAGCGTCCTGTTTCCCTCCGTACTGAGATTTTAGAGCAGCGACTCTCAACCTTCCTAATGCTTCAGCGCTTTAGTAACTGTAATTTTGCTGCTATCTGCTGCACAGCCACCAAAGGAGACTCAATCCCCAGTTGAGAATCACTGATTTAGAGGATAGATAAAAAGTGACCAGGCCTCCTAAGTCTAACTCCCTGACATTCCCTGGCTCCAGCTAGGTTGTTCATTTGCCTCCGCAGCCTGTGGTAATACAGCTTTCTCAGTGCTCTGTGGTGATTGTCAGAGTAGGTGCTCGTGACACTGATGAAGAAAGGGAAGGTGAAGAAGCTGAGTTCGGAGAGAGAGGAAGCAGGAGCCTTTGGTTTGAAATATGCAACATTGTTTAAACAAAGGTGCTCTATTCTAAAGGAGTGATTTCTGTGATTTTAACCATTTGCAGCTTCTTTTAGGCTTATGAATGTTCGTTTAACGTGTTTATGGTGCTGGGGATTGAAGCCAGGCCTTTGTACATGCTGGGCAAGAGTTCCACCACTGACCTAATCCAGCTCCTTGCCATCCCTTCCCCCAGAAGACTTGGAGATTTTATTTAAATTTTTCTCGAGATTAATTTTTATTTATGTTGTATTCATGAATTTCTGTGTCTGCCACTCGTATGTAGGTCCTGTGGAGGCCAGAGGAAGGCATCAGATCCCTGGAGCTGAGGTTACAGATGATTGTGAGCTAACAGATGTAGGTGATGGGACCCTAACTCAAGTCTTCTGCAAGAGCAGCTAGCGCTTTTCGTTACTGAGTTATTTCTCAGAGCCCCAAGATTCTTTATTAATATAAACTTGAGCACAATGGTTAGTAGAAAGAGAGGCATACTGAGAGCGTGGATGTAGACTCTCTAGGAGGCGAATCTTCTTCTCTCTCCTAGATTTAATATACTCATTAAATAACCAGGGCTGGCTTCAAAGCAAGCATACTTGACTGTGATATTAATAATAATATAACAGTAAGGCACAAAGAAATCTGAACTAGTTGTTTTGTGTGTTTTGTTTTACAAAACAGGTAGCTTTGCAGTTTGGGGAGGACTGTTTTCCATGATTGACTGTAGTATGGTTCAGATAAGAGGCAAAGAAGATCCCTGGAACTCCATCACTAGCGGTGCCTTAACAGGAGCCATCCTGGCAGCAAGAAGTAAGTGAGCATTGCGTCACTGTTTGTCTTCTGCAGCACTGAGGATGGGACCTGGGCCTTGGACGTGGTAGGCAGGTGCCTTACATTGAACTAAATTTAAATTCTCAGTCTAATAAATAAACCATCATTTGGACATACCAGTGGGAGTCAGGTTTTTGGAGCATCCTCATCTGCCTTTAATTAATGAAACTTGTCTTTAGTTCTCAGGAAGCAGAAGCAGGCAGATTGCTGAATTCAAGGCAGGTGTGTTCTACAGAGTGCGTTCCGAACTGCACAGAGAATCCCTGTCTCAAAAACACAAAACAGAATCATTCAAATCTGCAATGCATGACACTGAGAATTGCCTGATTTGGTATAGAATAAATATTTATGGTGATTTGAAAGTAAGAGTAAAGGAATAAAGGACTGGGTTTTTAAAATTTATTACTACTACATTATTTACTGGTGTGTGGGTGGGCACATGTGCTAAATGAGGTCAAAGGACAATTTGCGGAGTTTCTTCTCTGCTACCACTTGGGTTCCAGGAATTGAGTTCAGTGCCTACACCTGCTGATTCCGGCTCACCAGCCCCCTGTTTGTTTGGTGGCAGGGTCTCAGAGATCCAGGTGGCCTCGAACTTCCTCCCTAGCTCACAATGACCTTGAGTGCCTTATCTCCTTGCCCCTGCTCAAGTTCGGGGTTTACAGGTGTGTGGCCCTAGGGGCATAAATTCTTGCTGGTGTAATACAGTGGTTAAGAACACTGGCCATTTATTTCTTGTGTCACTGGTAGAATGCCAGAGTCTCCGTGCTGTAGTTTCCTAAGTAATCTTGAATTAGCACTGTCGGCCACACACAACTGTGAGGCATAAAGATCATCCTCTGGGCCTTGAGGAAAGAGCAAGTGAATTCCTTTGGGTTTAGACTAGACGTTTTAAACTTTTTCTTGAAAAAGTCCAGGCATTAATAGTAAATCAATTTTCTCTATTGCATTAATTTAATTTGTGTGTGCGCACATGAGTACAAGAGTTCGTACACGCTACATGTAGAAGTCAGAGAATGATTTGTAGAATGATTCTTTCCTTCTGCCTTGTGGGTCCCAGTATTGAACTCAGGTCAGGAGCTTGGCAGGAAATACCTTTACCTAATGAGCCATTTGGCGGTCCAGAAATAAATATTTTATACTTACGGACTACATGATCTTGTTGTTTTGTTGCTGTTTTGTTTTGAGACAGGGTCTTACTATTTAACTCTGTCTTGCCTAGAACTTACTAGGCTGTCCTCAGACTCGGTGGAGGCCTGCCTGTCTTTGCTTCTTGGTGCTGAAATTAAAGGCGTGAGCCACCCCACCAATGCACTATGTGATGTTATTAAGGCATGCAAGCAAGGAACATGGCTTTGTCCAATATAGCTTTTAAATTGGTTCCTTTTCTGTTGCTGTGATAAGGCACCAGAAGAAAGTTTATTTGGGGCTCACAGTTTCTACAGGTTGGAATACTTGATGGTGGAGCAGGGGTAGCAGATGGCAGGTGACTGGAGCAGCATCCCAAAGCTTACATCTCAGTCCACAAGCAGGAGGCAGGGGATGGTGCAAGTCTTTTGAAATCTTAAAGCCCACCCTCAATGACACACCTCCAATAAGAGCACACCACCTAATCCTTTCCAAAGGGTTCTACTACCTGGGGACTGAGTTTTCAAATATACGAGCCTATGGGACCATCTCATTCAAACCATCTACCATCACAGCTTTGTTTAAAAAGCAGGCTGTGGGCCGGAGCTGACCTCTCCGCTGTTGTTTGCTGGCTGTGGGTCTTGGGCAGTGGAAGAGTTTGAGAATGAGAGGAACATAAGTATATGGATAGCCCTTTCCCTTAAAGTAGTCTTTGTTATTAATGTCTGCAGATGGACCCGTCGCCATGGTGGGGTCGGCTGCCATGGGAGGCATTCTCCTAGCTTTAATTGAAGGAGCTGGTATCTTGTTGACAAGGTTTGCCTCTGCACAGTTTCCCAATGGTAAGTCCTTTCTCTCCTTAATGCTCTAGGTTCATACGCATGGGACTGGCTTCCTGACATTAAGGAAGAATGATTTTGTTTGGTAAAATGGAGTAGTTTGTGATTTCTACTGTGTTACTAACTTGTTACGCTTGAACCTATGATAAGCCCAAATGACGTAATGGGTGAGCTGGGTGGTGGTGGCTCACGCCTTTAATCCCAGATTTGGGAGGCAGAGGCAGGCGGATCTCTGTGAGTTCGAGGCCAGCCTGGGCTACAAGAGCTAGTTCCAGGACAGGCACTAAAGCTACAAAGAAACCCTGTCTTGAAAAACAAAGAAAAGAAAAGAAAAGAAAAGAAAAGAAAAGAAAAGAAAAGAAAAGAAAAAGAAGAGAGACATAATGAGTGGAGGCTAGAGAGATGGCTCAGGAGTTACCAGCACTTGCTGCATTTGCAGAGGATCCAGGTTCTGTTCCCTGTATCCACTCATTCATTCACAACTGCCTGTAACTCCTCTCTAGTTCCAAGCAGATCTGATGACCTCTTCTGGCCTCCACAGGCTCTATACATACCTGGTTAACATACAAGCAGGTTCATGCATATACACATAGACAAAAACCAAAAGTGTTTTTAGAGTAGTAGGCCTATAATCATCATATTTATAGACAGCTTGTGACAAAATGCTTTGGCTACTTGATTTTTTGGTGTTCGTCTTTCTTTGTAGACCTCAAGATTTATTCGTGTTCATTTATTTATTTTGAGAAGTTTCTGGTCATTTGAAAGCTACTCAGATTCGTGGTGATGATGGTAGCTGACCAGACACTGTTGTAGCTGACAGCAGAAGAGGGGGGTAGACAATTTCTGACCTCAAGGACTTAAATTCTGGGGATCTAAGACCGACAACAGGCTTGGAAGATTATCCTACCCAAAAAATATTACTTGCTTTCAAGAATATAAAATAGGCCAGGCATGGTGACAAATGCCTTAAATTCCAGCACTCAGGAGATAGAGGCAGGCAGATGTCTTAAATTCCAGGATTGCCAGAACTACACAGAGAAACCCTGTCCTGAAAAACTAAAGTAAAAGAAAAGACTATAAACTAGACTCGAGTTTGGGTGGGGATCAGATTAGAGTTCTGGGAAAGTGAGAGGCAGAATTGTGGATTTGCATAGCCACTTGATGGGCGTGGGCAACTGCTCATGAATGTTCAGGGTTTTTATCTCAGCATTCAGTGAGTAAATGGAAATAACCCTTGGCCGTTAGAAGGAAGCATACAGACAGAAGGATTCTGGTGCTAGCGCAATAAAGAGTTTTGTCATGCTATTACCTCACCTTCACATGAGCTTGGTTCCCAGAACACATTTCAGGCATGGTGACACATGCCTGTGATCCCAGCACTCTGGATCTCAGGGTAGGGTAACAAGTTCTAGGCCATTGGAGGACCTTTTAAGGGCTGAAGAGATCAACACAATTGTTATGAGTTCCTCCTAATCTTGTAGACAGTTGTCAGCATTCACACCAGGCAGCTCTAACTCCAGCTCCAGGGGCTTCAAAAGCCTCATCTGGACCGTGGAGGGCACATGCGCGCACATACACACTTAAATAAAAATAAGGCTGGGCGGTGGTGGCACACACACTTGGGAAGCAGAGGTAGGCAGATCTCTGGGTTCAAGGCCAGCCTGGTCTACAGAGTGAGTGCCAAGACAGGCTCCAAAGCTATGCAGAGAAACTCTGTCTCGAAATAAAATATTAAAACTGGTCATGATGGCACATACCTTTAATCCTAGCACTTGGAAGGTAGGCAGATATCTGAGTTTGAGGTCAGCCTGCTCTATCTAGTGAGTTCCAGGATAGACAGGACCACACAATGAGACCATGTCTCAAAAAATACGTAACAGGGGCTGGAGAGATATCTCAGCAGTTGAGAGCACTGGCTGCTCTTCCAGAGGTCCTGAGTTCAATTCCCAGCAACCACATGGTGGCTCACAACCATCTGTAATGAGATCTGCTGGCCTGTAGAAAAACGTACAGGCAGAACACTGTATACATAATTAATAAATAAATCTTTAAAAAATAGTAATAATGAAACGAGTCTTAAAATGAAGTAGAGGGCTCCTGAGAAGCCACCCAAGGACACACACACATACATACATACATACACACACACACACACACTTATAGACCCACACACATACTAAACGTTGACTTGGCATTTGGGGAAGGGATAGGAAGAATAATAAGACATGTTGAAAATTATTTGGAGCATGGATAAGACTCAGTTGCAGAGCAAGAAATAGACTATACTGCTAGATTTGATTTCCCTGAGGCACCAAGGGAAAGCTATGATCTTTGCACGATTTATGAGCACACTCCTGTAGATTTCAGTGGGTTGATATAGATATCTTACTTTACATTGTTTTTTAATCATTTCTTTTGAGTTTGCACTATTACGGTGGTCACATTCTAATTACTTAGTTTTGATCATGTTAGTATATAATAATAACAGTTTCATATTTTCAGACATTCAGAACTATATGTAACAAAAACTTAATCTTATTCCACTGAGTCTCCTTTCTAGTAATCAAATCTCACCATTTATATAGATGTCACCTAAAAATGGTATATGTTATTTTTAGACAGGAGATGTACTTTTGGCCAGGCATGGTACAAGCTAATAATCTCAGCACAGGCTCAAGGCTAGCCTCTGCTACATAACAAATTTAAAACCAGCTAGGGCTACATGAGACTATAAGACAGTTGTGGGGTGGTTGGGTTTGCTTTTAAGAGTTAAACAAGGGGCACTGAAGACATGGTTCAACTTCTAAGAGTATTGGCTGCTTTTCCGGAGGATTGGAGTTCAATTCCCTGCATCCACATGGCAGCTCACAACTGTCTGCAACTCGTGTTCCATAGGATCAGTGCCCTCTTCTGGCCTTGGAGGGCATGAGACATACATATAATACACAGACATATAAGCAAAACACTCATACACATAATAATAAATAAGTAAATAATTTAAAACAAAGTTCAAGGTCATCTTTCTTTGGCTATTGTCTTAATGTTGCTATTGCTGTGATGAAACACCTTAACCAAACTTATACTTTCAAATCACTGTAGGAAGTCAGGACAGGAACTCAAACAAGGCAGGAACCTGGAGGCAGGTGCTGATGCAGAGCCCTTCACTCTCAATCATTAATTAGGAATTGCATTACAGCTGAGTCTTAAGGAGGCATTTTCCCCACTTTTGTCAAAAAAAGCTTTTCAGATATTCTTTCATTGGGTTTTCTTTGTCTCTTATAAATTTATTTGGTTTTTGAGATGGTCCTCAACACATTTGTTATTATTTAAGTTGGATTGATGAGTTCTGTTAAACATAACTAAGGGGTTGTACTTAGTGGTAAGGGGTTAAGCTTTACAGAGGCCCTGGTTTTACCCCTAGTGCTGCCAGAACAACAGCAGAAACAGAAACATACCTAGGGTCTTTTAAGTTTTGTCATTAGCTCTGGCTGGGCCTGGAACTCACTTTGTAGACCAGACTGGCCTGGAACTCACAAAGATCTATCTGCTTCTGCCTCCCAGGTACTGGGATTATAGGCATGTGCCACTACCGCCTGGCTTGTCCACATAATTTTAAATGGCTACTAAAATATGTGTCAGGAGGGGCAGGAGAGTTAGTTCAGTGGTTAAGAGTACTTGCTATTCTTTCAGAGGACCCAAGTTCAATTCCTAGCATTCACACTGCGGGGCTCACAACATTCTCTCATTCCAGTTCCAGGAGATCCAGCCCCCTCCTCTGACATCAACACACATACAGATAAATAAAGCAATTTTAAACTTTTTTAGAATTGTATACAGTGGGATTGGAGAGTGATGGAGGTGGGTCTTGTATCTTATCTGTTGCTTTCATTGTTTAACTAATAAAGAAAACTGCTTGGCCTGATAGGACAGAAAATTAGGTAGGCAGAGTAGACAGAACAGAATGCTGGGAGAAAGAAGCCAAGTCAGGCAGTCACCATGATTCTCCCACTCCAGACAGACACAGGTTAAGATCTTTCCTGGTAAGCCAGCTCGTGGTGCTACACAAAATATTAAAAATGGGTTAAAGCAGGCTGTGAGAATTAGCCAATAAGAGGCTAAAACTAATGGGCCAGACAGTGATTAAAAGAATACAGTTTCCGTGTAATTATTTCTGGGCATAAGCTAGCCATGCGGAGCTGGGCGGGAACACAGCCAGCTGCCACTCCGATTGCAACAGGAGAGATGGCTCAGTGATTAAGAGCCCTTTACTGCTTTTGCAGAAGACCAAGGATCAGCTCTCAGTGTGCACATGGCAGCTCACAGCTGCCTGGAACTCCAGCCTTTCTACTTCCGTGGGCTTCTGCACTCTGGTGTGCACACATACTCATTTTTTTTTTTTAGCTGTATTAAGAAACAGTAGATTTTTTTTTTCCCCTTCCAGTCTTGACCCAGGGAAACTTACTATAGCATTTGCTTTAAACTGGGGCTGAGGACATAACTCAGTTGGTAGAGTATTTGAGCAGCATACACAGAACCCTGGGTTCACTCTTCAGCAACACATAAACTGGGGTGGTGTGCATACCTGTAATCCTATGTAGCAAGTTCAAGGCCTGCCTGCTCTAAGGGAGACCACATAGCAATCAAAACAACAACAAAACCCACTAATTTTATTTTATTTTTACGAATCCATCTGACTTTCCTGGCTATCCTTTCTAGAACACCGGGAAGTCAATCTGTCCTGTGATAAATCTAAAGAGTCTGCAGACCTCTGGTGGGAACTATGAGATTACAAAGAAACTCCAGCTACAGTTGTGGTGTAGCAGTAGCTTTTAAGTTGATTCATTTCTTTTCTACTTCCTAATCGGATGCCTTTTGCATCTCAATTGCAGGCCCTCAGTTTGCAGAAGACCACTCGCAGCTGCCGGCAAGCCAGCTGCCACCCTCACCCTTCGGAGACTACCGACAGTATCAGTAGGACATCCTTCCCAGGAGTCCTGTGCCTGACGGGACTGGAGTTCAGTAGGGTTTCAGAAGATCAAGTTACAGTCTCTTTAAAGCCGTAGGTGGGGCAGCGGTGGCCAAGCGGGCCATGAAGAGACATTTAGCACATTTTTCTATTTAAAAGAGACTCAGAGGGGAGAAAAGACACTGAGTTTATTTATTCACACGTGGATTGCATTGTGATCAGAATAAATGTCTAATGCATTTAAAGAGCATATGTATACACACATGCTTAGAAGATAAAGGACCAATGGGCAAATAACAGTGAAACTTGGCCATCATTTCCTTCAGGACTCCTCTGCCTGGTATTTTGTGTACAGTTATTCAGACAATAAAGGTTCCTGGGACTTAACATTTCCTTTTAAAGTTACAGAGTTCTGCCTTTCATACTGAACATACTTCAGATAATGCATGTTTATGCCAACCCCTCATCTCACTTGAAATGAACTATATATGAGAAGGATTGTGTAATCAGCGTGAATCATTTCACAGGGCAAGAATGGAAAGATATGGCCACATGATCATCCTTTGCTTTGAAAACAAAATGTTGTCTTGATTTAGCAGATGCTGGATAGCTGGGTGTAGTACACACCTTTAATCCCAGAGGCAGGTGGATCTCTGAGTTCCGGGCTGGCCTAGGGTACATGGAGAATCTCATCTCAAAAAACAATGATATACTGGACATAAAACTCTTTAGGGCTGCCATCTCTTGATTCCTGGTCATCAAAACAACATGCTTCCTATATACCCAGCTCTGTATGGGAATAATTCTTAGAAGGGGGTGGGGATAGTGCATGCTTGAAAAGAGAGGGCAGGCATAATGGCTCACACCTGTAATCTCCTGTCACCTTGGATGCTGAGGCAGGAGCATCCAAATTCAAGGCCAAATTTGACAGCAGTCTCAAAAAATCAGAGAAAGAAGAAAATACTTGTTTTAATTGTTTCAAGTCCTCTGCAGCTGGTTATTCAAGCTGTGCTGCGGGGTCTGGTGGAGCTAGAACTTAGCTCAGCCTACAGAGTAGTTCCCTGCTTGTGTTGTGAACGCATCTGCCTTTCAGCTCAAGGCTGTACACATAGTAAGTACTTAGCTACTCCTTGTACTTTGATTATTTATGGATTGTGTGTGTGTGAGAGAGAAAGACAACATATAAAACTAAAACTATTTATTATTGTAGACATTTGTAGGTGTGTTTCAGTGGCTTGGAAATACAAGCACTGTGTTTAACCCCTAGCATTAGTGTTCTCTGTGCTCAGAGTGTTACCGGCCTGATGGTGGCTTTTTGTTTGCTTGGGGCTTTTTTGTTGTTGTTGTTTTTTCAAGACAGGGTTTCTCTGTGGCTTTGGAGCCTGTCCTGGAACTAGCTCTGTAGACCAGGCTGGCTTTGAACTCAGAGATCCACCTGCCTCTGCCTCCCAAGTGCCTTGATTAAAGGTATGTGCAATCACTGCCCAGCCTGTTGGCCTGCTGGTTGTAATCTCAGCACTTGGAAGGCAGAGGCAGGAGGATGGTGAGTTCAATGCCAGCCTGTCTCAAAACAGTGAAACACTGATATAAACTCTATACCATTAAACAGTAGCTTCTTTCCTTCACCCCTACCCTCAACCCCTGTAATCTGCTGTCTGAATTTGCCTATCTGAAGTCTCTCGTATGCATGGAATCACACAGACTCATTTTGTGCCTGCCTTGATTCACTTAGCAGAATGCTTGCAGGTCCATTCATCCTGGGAATTCTAATTCTTTAATTTTGTGTCTGAGTGTTTCTTGTGTTATTCGTTTGACTATTGATGGTGGTAACAAGCTGTTCCAACTTTCAGCTATGCTGAATTATACCCTGGAGTGCAAATAGCTATTTGAGTCCCTACTTTGCGTTCTCTTGGATATTTACCTAAGCCTAAGATTGCTGGTCACGTAATCGTTCTATCTTTAACTCTGAGGAGCTGCCAAACTTGTTTTCCACAAGGGCTGCACCATTTTACTATTCCCAGGAGCAATGTAAGAGGATTCTCTTTCTCTGCTTCCTTGCCAGATGACGCTTGTTATCCTCCCACCCAGTGCTAGGGATTAAACCCCAGCCCTCTTGTCTGCCAGGCAGGCATAAAACCACCGAAGAAGGCTACCCACAGCCACTCTCCCTTTAAAGAAACTTTGTAGCCCTCCTGACGTGGGGAGTGGTACGCCATTGTAGTTGAGGTTAGGTTTGTTGTTTTGAGAGTCTAGTTCACTGTGGCTTTGATTTGTGTTTCCCTAAAACTGTAATAAATGTTAGATGTCCAGCACTCAGGCTTTCCATTATAAAATAAGGAAATGTGCATCAGAGCATCCAGTTGGAGCATCTTTAGATGGCAGGTCAGTAAGTTCCTTTCATGAGAACTCCCGCTCCTTGATGCTGGCTTCACGTGTAATGCTGGTATGGTTTTGACGTTTGATTGGGTAACTCTAGGGTTTTCAGTATAGCACACATGAGTTATTTTTTTGTTTTGTTTTAAACTTTATACTTTTTTTTTGAAAAAATTTATTTATTATACAGTGCAGGCCAGAAGAGGGCACCAAGTCTCATTACAGATGGCTGTGAGCCTCCACGTGGTGGCTGGGAATTGAACTCAGGACCTTTGGAAGAGCAGGCAAAGCTCTTAACCACTGAGCCATCTCTCCAGCCCTAAACTTTATACTTTATGTATAGGAGTGCTCTGTATGTACACCTGCACACTAGGTAATGAGCCGCCATGTGGTTGTTGGGAATTGAACCTCTGGAAGAGCAGCCAGTGCTCTTAACCTCTGAGCCATCTCTCCAGCCCTATTTTTTTTGTTTTAAAATAGTTTTTCTGGGGGGAGGGGAGCAGAGAAAAATGTAGAGTTCAATAAAAAAATCAATTAAAAAATAGTTTTGCTATATAATCCAGGGTATCCTTGAGCTTGTGAGCCTTCTTTGTGCCTAGACTTCCTGAGTCCTGAAACTGGAGGCATGGCACTAGGCTTGGTTTTTCTTTTCTTTGTGGCACTGGAGAGTCAACCTAGGGTCTTGCTCATCCTGAGCAGCACTCTACTGCTGAGCCATCCGGAGCCCACGAGACAGTTCTTGACTGTGATAGATTTTCTAGAAATAACTATAGGTAGGTGAGAGGTGAAAGAAAGATAGCCAGTTTGTTTGTTTGTTTGTTTTTTAATTATATTTTCACCACATGCAGAGCATGAGATGGAAAACTGGATAAAACCTTTTTTGGTGGTGTTTCCAAGGCTTCCTGGTTCTTGGAAAATATCCTTCCTTCATCCATCCTGTAGTCAGCGGAGGCTTTCTGTCCCAGTGCTGCTTCTTGAACAGGGGTAAGGGCAGCTTGATTCTACCACCAACCTTTATAAAGACTGGTAGCATACTTCCTAACATGAGTGCAGCCCAAGATTGATTCTGAGCACTGCATAAGGCGGGCGTGGTGGCACATGCCTATAACCCCAACATTATTAAAAAGCAGGAGTTCAGGATCTTCTCTGCTACATGGTGAGTTCAAATCCAGCCTAGAATACATGAGGCCTCTTTTCAAAAATAAAGTACTGCTATGACATTTTTTGGTAGCTATTCTAAAGTTGGTAGGGCCCAAGATAAAAGCTAGAAACACCAAAAAATCATTTTAATAGATAATGTAATCAGAAGTACATGATGAGGGAGTTTCTCTGGGTCTTCCTGGACTAGTGGAATTAGTCATAGTTGAAATGCCTGTTGCCCCATTTCCCTGCTATCTGAACTTGACCACAATTGACCTGTAGCACCATTTCTGAGTCAGTTTGGAAGCTGTAGGTACAGCTGTACCCGCTGTTGCAAACACATCTGTTTTCACACGCTAAATGCCTGGAGACACGAATTCTGGTGATTTTAGGTAGCTTGTTGTAGGGTCCTGAGTTCAGAGCTGCATTATAGTGACATACACCTGGTAGGACAGACAGGAGGATCTGCAGGGCTCTTGCCAGCTAGTCTAGCCAACTGGTGAGAGATCCTACCTATGAAATAAAGAAGGCTAGCTGGCTCAGCAGGGCACTTGCTAGCCATGCAAATTTGACAATCCTAGTTTGCTCCCTGCAACACATAAGCCAGATTGTACATCTGATAGAACAGGAGGATCATCCAGATGTGCACATCTGATAGAACAGAAAAAACCATCCAGATGTGCACATCTGATAGAACAGGAGGATCATCCAGATGTGCGCATCTGATAGAACAGGAGGATCATCCAGATGTGCACATCTGATAGAACAGGAGGATCATCCAGATGCCCTCAGACCAGCTCGCCTGAAATCTGCAGTCTAATAAAGAACAAGAAGTGCTGTCTCAACAAGGTTGAAGCCAAGAGCCAAGTCCCCAAAGAAGTGGAGAGCAGTCCAGGGCCCCAGATGTCAACCTCTGGCATCCACGTAACTGCACAAATGCACAGACAAAATGAGAGCAAACATTGTTTTCAGTCTGTCAAACCTGTCACATCAGATGGGATGGAGCAGACTTTCTGTTAACATGGGGGAACCCCGTCTTACCCATGGTGAGCGACTGTTTCTGGCTCTCATGAGAGTTCAGCAATTCCACCCCACCACTAACACGGGAAGGAGACACAGGATTAATTTTAGTTGGTGTTGAAATCTGGTATCTTGACAGTAGAAGCCACTTTGCAGTGGGTAGGGTATGCATTTCTCTTGCCTCAGCCTCACAGTTGCTGGGATTATAGGTCTGAGCCGCTATACTTAGCAGGAACTACATTTTATAAATACTTGATAAATGTTGAGTAAACAAAATATAGGCAGATATGTCACTAGAGTGAGAAAGTATGAAGCTTTTGGAAGATAGATATTTCAGTCAACAATGTAATAATAAATTATTTAATTATATAAAAAATTAAATATTCCAGACTGACAAAACAGCTCAGCAGGTAAGACCACTCTGCCTCCAAGCTTGATGACCAGAGTTTGATTCCTGGAACACCTGGTAAAAGGAAGGACCAGCTCCATGGGTTGCCCTTTGACCTCCACACACATGCCCTACATACACACACAACAAACGAGTGAGTTTAAAACAAATTTTTAAAAATCCGTCTTACAGTTGAATTCTTTTTTTTTTTTTTTTTTTGGTTTTTCGAGACAGGGTTTCTCTGTGGCTTTGGAGCTTGTCCTGGAACTAGCTCTTGTAGACCAGGCTGGTCTCGAATTCACAGACATCCGCCTGCCTCTGCCTCCCGAGTGCTGGGATTAAAGGCGTGCGCCACCATTGCCCAGCGACAGTTGAATTTCTTATGCATAGCTTCTTAGTTTTTTAAAATTTATCTTTCATTAGGGTTAACTATTATCCTGAATTTAGTGTTTATCACTCACATGTA